TCAGTATCACACCCTCTACCTGTGAGTTCTGTTCTTTATTTCCTTCTTCAATTGAAACCAGTAATGAGGTGGAGGCTGTTGAGAAGTGTCTTTTAATGATAGAGCAGATGTGCAATCTGTCTCTAAAATCTATTAAGATGACGGAGACAAATATTTCATTTGATAGACTTTCAGGAGTATTTGACCAAAATTGCTAGAGTCAAGAGAGAAAGAGGGAGGTAGATCGAGCGAGAGAGAGAAAATGAAGATGATAAAGTGTGATAAACCAGAGATACGTATACTATACACTAAATGCAACCCAAAATTTGTAATTTTCAACTATATGTACATGTGCATTATTCTTGCAATAATAATAGATGTACATATATAATTATTCAATTACATTGTGCACATGGTTGTTTTGTGATTCCTCTTTCTTCTCAAACAATACCACTTTTTCTTTCTTAAAGAGTCAATTCTCTTCTAACACCATATACCTCCTCGTATTCCTGGGCTCTGGTCACTTGCCCCTTAATAAATATAATAAATAAATAAAATATATTAATGCAATTTTAATCTTGTACTTGTATTAGACGATCAGCCAAAGCTGCACATTCCTTCTCTATAGCTAAAACTCGTTTTTCTAACTTGTAATTGTCATCTTGGAGTCACTAAAAAAATTAAGTGATTATCACATGAAAGTCATGTGATCTAGAGCAAGGTCATGTGACGTGTTTTGCTTACAATTAATTTGGAATTTTTCACTTGTTGCCTTTCCATCATTTGATTGTACTTTTTCTCCATCCTAGAAATAAAATACATGTAAGGTGATCTTTCGCTTCCCCTCTCCCCCCATCTCCCTTTCTCCTTTACTTTTCCTTTTTCTTGTTACTTTTTTAGTTTTTTTGAAGATGCTTTCATCCTCAAAAAGAGCGTCACAGCCTTCCTCCGATAAAAACTTCATTTCTTTTTGAAAGTGCTATAGAAATACAATGTACATGTAAATAAAACTTTCATTACATTTTTGAATGTATATTGATGCATTTATACCATGTAAAATGTTTGAGCCAATTCCGACTTAAAGTTTTTGAGTTATGAGC